TAAGGGTGACAGAGAGACAAAACACACCAGTTTCTTGCCAAATAGTGAGTGAGACAAATCTGTTCACCTATAAATGTCATCTAGAGTTGTTATATCAAACATTTCAGACTAAGTTACTACCTTGTAAGCACAATAAGCATTTATAAGCATATTTCTTAACATATAATATTGTACTTTATCACAGCATTATAAGTATCTACAACTAATATTATATACTAAAAAAATAGGTTTACAAATACGTATTGTGCTTACAACGCTGTAACTTAGTCTGAAATGTTTAATATAACAACTCGAGATGAAATATATATATGGCCGATTTGGCTCACTGTTTGGCAAATACACTAGTCAGTTTTGTCTCTCTGTCACCCTTAATTAATGTATAATAAACAATTATTAATGATTTATAAAGTGTTTATAGAGGAATTAGTAACATAAACTATAGCCATCTATAAGGGGAGCCTTATTTGCTATACCAAAAATAACTAATGTCATTTAGTTGTTTGGGTTTTCTCCCTCAGTTTATGTGGAAAAAGAAGCACACGGATTCAGAACGGTCTACAATATTTATTGACAAAGTAGTATTTTTTTTTAAATCCTTTGTAGTAAAGACGAGGACTGACTTTTACAGGGCTTTTCTTAAAGAAGGGAAGAGCTCGGTGGTTCACAGATTGTTCTTGAGAGTGACGCACCACGTTTATTAGTGTGGAGGGTGCTGAGAGGGTAAAAGGGCTTGAAGCTGCTTGTAGAGATGTCCAGGGCAGCAGGAGGTTAAGGCTTCTTCTGTGAGTGTGTGCAAACATACACCGTTACCAAGATTTGCTGTGTAGGCTTTTACAATATTGGTAGTCCATTGCCCTCCAATGGAGACTCTCCTGTCAACTAAAAACATTTCATGTACAAAACCACCTCCTTTCCAGTACAAAGAAGTCCCAACCCAACAGAAAGCCTGTAGTTCGAAGTAGTACAACTTATAATGAAATATTCTCATTAGCATATATCAATCAATGAATTTCCAGTATAGCTCAAGGATAATGTGATCATTCTGTACAGTATCACTTAGAAAATCGTATTTATTTCTACATAGAATATAGAAGTATAAAAATATATAAAACAACAAAAAAACAAAATGCGTTGTGATTTAAGAAAAAAAAAAAAATCCAAATCGTAGGACTTTTTAATGTTTCTTGACACGTTTGCGTCCAACAAACACCCTTAATGCACTTCAATAGGTAAATGTACCACAATGCCGTACACAGCATTACACTGACCACTCCGATAGATTAGATTGCTTTAGTGTCAAAAAGTCTTTTGAAATATTTTAAGAGTCTAAATTATGTCTATTTTAAAATGACCAGTGCCGAAACTATGTGTGTACAATAAGACTGTAATACTGTGCAGATTATGTTAAACACTGAAAGTAAACAAACATAATATACATATTTTAATACAAGTTCAAAGAGCTGATTTTGAAAATGCAATTTGTGATTATCGCAGTGGGATTGGTCATAGCATTAGATGACGTGTGTCCTTCTTCAGAGTACTGGCCTCACTACAACTTTTGCTATTAAACAAGAGCATTAACAGAGATGTAACTAGCTAATCATCAGTAATAAAACTCATACTTTTTGCTGATATGTTACAGCAAATACGTGGTGCAAAGTAATTGACTACATTCATAAATACATCTTTATATTTTGGCATCAAACAAAGACTTTTGTGATGAACAGAAAAAAAAGCTAAATGGTACAAAGTTATTCTTAAAATTAACTATTTTACATTGTTTCACATCACCCATTTGCATTATTGGCAATGCTCCATAAATGACATCAAAATGTCATTTGATTGATTTGTAAATATTTACAGCAATATTATATTCTAATATGATTAATAACATAATTTCTGGTATGTACATTTTTATTTAAAATGGTTGGTTTGCACTATTTTTAAGGACATTGTCATTTTGTCCTGTTCAAATGTCTATTCTGACCTATTCTTCCCAAATAACTGTAATTATTTCTACACCTGGTCCCTCACCTGGACTCATTTCCAAACTGCACTCTTTAGAGTTAAGTGTATATACTCTCAGCTCTCAAGATGCATTTGCAAGTTTGCCAAAGTTTCTTTTTGCCCCGCATGTCAAATATTTATCATCTTGTGTCATATTTTTTTATCATTTACAAACCAAAAAGAGATTTTTTTTTTCCATCTTCATTGTGATCTATGAAGTGCAATTCTTTCTGAACTGTATTTCATCAATTGTTAAAGTCTGTGACAACATTTTGATCCCAGTTATCAGTATCCCAAAAGGTTTTACATATAAAATTTTAACTAAAGTTTAAGGTATTTTATTTTGAAACAATATATATTAGACATGTTTAGTTTCTTTGTGCAGTTTACAATGACAAGAAAAATAAAAATGAAATAAATACACATTTAAATACCACTAAAAGTTTAAAATTCATTGTTCATTAATTAATTCTTAGTTTTGTTTTTTTTCAATTAAATTGTGCTCCTTTCAACTTTCTTGGTTGCCAGGCAGTGCTTGATAAAATGAACTGGCAATGAAACATAAATGTATTTTGTAATTTGTATTTTTTTCTTCATTTTTATAAGATCATGTATGTTTTAATGTTAAGCATCCTTTTCAAAACCACATGTGCATACTTCATAAAGCAACATTTAAATAAGAAGAAACAAAGGTTGCTGCTGTACAGAAAATTCAGATTGTCAGCTATTTGACAAACAGGCACATTAATTTAAGTATCGGCTCAATATGTTAAATATTTTAACAGGGAAAAACAAAACCTTATTCCCCCTTTCTTTCAGGAGAACCCATTATGAAATGAAGAAGGTTTTAGATATACAGGTATATGCATATATATATATATATATATATATATATATATATATATATATATATATGCACCTCCCGGTACCGTCAACATCAAAATGTGGGTGGAAAAGGTGAAACACCCACACCTCCCTCCACCCTCATTTGCCTCACTCTGGGCCCCTGAGCAAGGCCCTTAACCCCCATCATCTGCTCCCTAAACAGGTCTCTCTTGAAAATGAGTTCTCGTGGCTCAGTGAGACTACCTGGATAAATAAAGGGTAAATGAAAAAAATATATATATATATGTATATATGATTATTGTCTCGATTTGTGATAACACTATATTATTCACTGTCTGATTGTTGTTTTGTTTCAAATTGCCCACGCTCCACCCATACTTTCAATGTGTCAAATCTTACAGAACAAAGTATGTGATTCTCAGGTATCACAACATGATTTTTCACATTTGTAATTGGTTGTGCCCCCCCAAAAAAATTAAAGATATATTGAAATTTTATTTCATGACAATTCCCCATTAGCACCATGTGTCCAATAAATGGTCAGGCCTTTTGGCTTCTTGGAGATTTTTGCAACTTATCATATAGATTTCAACTTTTCATTACTCAGTGAAAAGCACAGTATCATAGTGTATTTGTGACAAGTTTTAAATAAATTATAGCCAACTTTCTTGTCGAAAATTATAAATGACTTCAGTACCAAATTTATGATTGCTAAAAAATAGAAAAAAATCTGTTCAAAGACAAGCCATAAACAGGTATTCACAAACAAACAAATAAAAAAATAAAAAAATACTAAAAAAAAAAAATCTGTCATTATTTGAAATGAATACAATTTGTGAAGTTGTGTACTTTTATGCATTTGGGCTTTTCAAATAGCTTGTTGCTTTATCTTGTTTTAGTAGTCCCAAAGAACATATGTACGTGTGTTTTTCTTTTCTTGTATAAGCTCTACAGTAAATAAATACATTATATA